CTAAAACGTACAAGGTCCATGTGAGACCCTGTTGGTATACACAACACATATACAAAGCATCAAAAGCATTCCATTTCTTAGAGTTTACAACACACGATTCAGGTAGCACTAAAAAACTAAAATGTGTTGAAGGAGAGACAGATCAGCCCACAGCGTAATGTGTTTAAGTCTTTAACAGACATTATCTGTCTCACAAGAAGTAAAATTACATAAATTGCTGAGAGAAATGAGGTTTTTGCCTTTTTTTTTTTTTTCTCTCTCCACTGGAGCACTGGAAATCTGAACTAGGACATAAAGGTTAAGAGCAAGATGCAATTAGCTGCATTACTACATTGGGCTATTTGACAGATCCACATGTTCCCTTTTGTCTGTCCCATCGCACCAGCACAGGACTGACTAGCAGCATTCTTTTTGTGAGAAATGGGGAAAAAACCAACACATTTTTTCTTATGACTTCAGCTGATTTCAGCATGAGTCTCCTGACTTGAGGCCATTATTTCAGTTCATTGGCACCATCCCAGTAAACCAGTATACCTATTCAGAGTACTCACTATTAAGTTTCTAATATTCATACTTAAATTGTAAATGTGTCTTCTGAATTGGGATCCCACTCACATAACTCCTTTTAAAAATTAAGATACTTCAAAGCTCCCAAAGAAGGACATTTGTTTCCAGGCGCGTTCTCATACAACACTAAGGAAGGCCTGGAAAACAATTAGGTGAGATCACCAACTTCTCTAGAAATCAGTACACTTCTTAGAAGGTAATTGCTTGAGCATACTTTAAAAAAACATCCTAATTCTACGCTCTACCAGCTGTAAATGAATTCTACCACACTCTATCTCAACAGGTTTACAAAAGAACATGAACAAGCCCTGTGTTGAAGCTTTCTCTCCCATGCACTTGCAGTTCCCCTTCTTGGTGCTGTGGATGAAACTCCCCAGTTCTCTGCTGTTACCAAATCAGCCATGAACCCATCCACCAGCACAGGCTGAGTGCGACAGTAACAGAGCAGCACCCATAACAAGTGGCCAGCTGAGCCTTGCTCATTCTTCATATTGGGAACGGTGACTTGAATTACTACCAGTGCAATTCCTAAAGCCAAAAAAATATCGTCTTAAATACTTGATTTTGTATTATTAAATCATGCTCACTTTTGAATGTCCAAATCCATGAGCTTCTCATTCTCCTTACAGAATAATCCAGTCCTCAAAACACTCAATTTTCTGAACTGGGTTGTCTACAGCTTTTAATAAGAACGTGCACAATTCCTGCACCAAGGTTATTAGTAAATGTAATGAGACAGAATTAATTTCAAGACTGATTTTTGAAGAGCATGACTAATAAATAATCTCTCTATCCTGTTACTTGCTCATATAATATAGTCATTTGTAGTCGTCTATATGGTCAGCTTCTGATCCAATTTATGTTTTCTCTACTGATCCCAACAGTTTTCACCTTTAAGTAACCCCTCACAGGCAGTGCATTCAGGGATTTATTACATTTAATGATTTACTAACCCTAAGATCCACTACATTCAAAGTAACACAGACATAAATTTAGAAAAACAACGCTTTATGAAGTGACATCAGTGCTTTCAGATCACAAGACCAACACTTATTCTTAAAAATTTAGACTATTTTCTGAAAAGCATGCATTTCTTCTGCAAGTTCTGACAATTTCTGTGCTTTGTCAATGAGGAGTAATCAATTACAACAATACAGAGTAGCATACAAACTGGTCAGACATCAATTCTGCTGAAGAGGATCATAGAAGGTAAATGGGAAGGAATGAATATTTTTAGCAGGTCATAAGATACAAATATAAACCAGCTACATCATGCTGTTGTAGAGAGGGAATTCCTCATATGAGGATGCTTAGTCAGGCGCACAGCCCACAGGGTAGATAAAGGTCTGCTCTCATGTCACTTCGTATTGCAAAACCTCAAACAGATTAGCTGATAAGGCCTCCAAAAATATGCAGATCGACTAAGAACAGCCAAGAGATTGTTTCAGCACAAAGAAGTACAAAAATGAAGTATCTTAAAAAGTCCAATAATCATAACATACAGAAAAAAAATCAATTATGTTACCTGAAGTGAAGGTCTAATAGTCCGCAAGAACTTAGAAGCATGATTAATCTCTTCTCCATAGATAGCTGGTGCAATGTTTTTCAAGAAACTCCACATCTAACATCAATTAGATATTACTTTTTTAAAATAATTGACACAGAGGACAGCAGCACTCCCACAGACAAACTGTCAGGCAGAAGAAAGCACTTCTGCAAACAGAACGGTAAGTACAAAATAGAGTAAATGAAGTGGCCAGGGAAGAATTTAGTCTAAATTTAGGACTATATTTTTGTCTCTGAAGTAAATTTCTAACCACCTGTTCTATAAACAGGCTTAGTTAAGGAGCCTCAGCCAGTTTGAAATGATGTTCAGTAAAACGGATTACGTGTTGGGCAGAACTATAAAACAGCATGCAGCATCGAGCAATAAAATCTACATTGCTCCATACCACCAGCAAGTTTTAATAATTCCATGCCTCAGGTTTTTGGGGAACTACCCACAATAGCTGAGAAGACTGTTTCTTTTCCAATCTCCCCCATCTTTTACCTCTTTCTTTCCCTTTCTCTTCGTTGCACTCAAAACAAATGCCAGATGTTGTCGTCCTTTCCCCTGAGGCATTTAGGGTTGGCTACAGAAAAGAAGCAATGGAAGAGGGAATGGATAATGCCTGGTTTCAACATACGGTGTACAGTTTGTATGTCTTGCTCACTGACATAAAAGAAGCAGAAGATCCACACAAATCTAAAATACACGAATGCTTTCTTTCAGAAAGATTCAACAAGCCTATCACATCCCTTAAAAGAACCAAGCTTCTCTAAGAATGTGTGTGTATATATATATATGAATATGTGTATATTTGTAGATGCCCATTTTTATTTCTTTGACTCCGGCTTAGACTCTAGTTAAATATCAAGTATGAGTATGGAGGAAGGGCTACAGAATGAAATGGCCATTTTCAGGAAGAAAGCCATGTTAAACAGATTTCTGACATCAGGCTAACATATGCCAGCAATATTCTATTATCCTGTTTCCTTAAATGTTGAACAGCCAGGGAAATTAAAAAGAAGCTTCATGCTGCAGTGACAAAATAAGATAGGCTTTGGTGTACCTATCAGTCAGCTGAAATGCAGACATTAGCACACTAACATTGCAGATGTCTGGATGACATAAGTGTCAAGTTGAAAGCAGCTGACTCAAACGCAATCTGAAGCGGTAAAAGGAAATGGGGAAGAACTTTGAGGAACTAAGAGCATGTCTGAATTCACTTCCTTTATCACTTAAGATAACACTACAACAGCACTCAAATCTTAAATGTGTGTATTTCTATGTGATAACAAACCTGTTGAGCATTAATGTAACTGCAGTCATGGCACTGCGTGTCACCAGTTGTGCTCTCACCATGCCCTACCAGTGCCTCTCTTCCTCCTCACCACAATCAAAGCCTTTCTCAAGGTGCACCAAAAGTATCCCCTGTGTAATCTTATCACTCCAACTGTTAGGAGAGAGAAGGACCAGAGACGCACACTGCTTTCTCACCTCCCCGATAGAAACATTTCTCAGTCAGAACACGCTTGTGCAGGACTGCACTGCTGGTCACTGTCTAGAGGTCACTGGCGCAGTGGTGGGGAAAGTATCAGCACCAGCCTCCTCCAAAACTAAAACTTCAAAAAGCAGCTCCTAGCCCCAGCTGCATCCTCTTCTTGTAGCATAGGACTGGCTGGTGAGCAGGGATCAGGTAATTGGAGGGCTTAGGGAAGGCTATTGCCATCTAGAAGCCCTTATTGGTAACTTGATTTCATTTTCCAAAGTATTAGCAACTGTGAAAACCAAAACATCAACGCAGGAAACACCCACTGATGTACTCCTGACAACCAGAACAAAGCTCCATTTCCCTCTGGGTATGCACTCCACCCAAGGTGATAAAACCATACCATTACCTGCCCCAAGTGGCACACAGGAACTGCCCAAAAGCCACATTCCCAGGCAGCCAGCATGACTGAAGCCACAGCTGGGTTTCACACCATACTTTCCCTATTAGCCATCTCCAACTGCTCCTACAGAAAAAAAGAACCAACTTTCTGAAGCTTTAGAGTGCTGAAAGTACCTCAGTGAAGCCATCTGGCTTTCTATAGCCCACCCAGTATACCAGGACCAGGTCTGTGGGAGCTCCCTCAGCCTGCTCCCAGTGCAGTAAGACCAACACTGGCAAAGGCAGCTCCTGACAGCCACGGGCTGAACCTCTGAGGGCAGGAGAAAGCCTCAGGAACAGTTCTGGGTGTGCCGTACATTGCATGAGTTCCGTAAATACAGTCGGAAATACAAAAATTAATTCAACAACTCATACTTCAAAAATTTCTTTCACAGTTTTCATTACAATACACAAATAGGATACTGTGCTTAACATTTGGTTGACCTTTGAGGAAAAATTTCCGAGTGAATATTTTGCTGGATCATTGCAGAGCGCTGAACATGCACACAGACGTGAATGTGGCTCCACAGAAAAGATTAAAAATTAAACCACTGTGGAACGCAGGATGTAAATACATCATTTTCAAATGAAACTGCTGAACATCTTGTGGTGGTGGTAAAAACCAAATCACCATGCAAAATGATAATACAAGAAAAGTCAATTGTGTGTTTCTAATAATAAATGCTCTTGTGGCTTTTGAAGTCACAAAAAAACTCTTGGCTGAATTGGAGCATTGATCTCTGTAGTTATTTATGTGCCGTTCCTATTAGAATTCTATTGAATCCCTTGAATGGTGAATGGAAGTGCTTTTGAAAACACACACAAAAAAACTGTTAAACAAGGGACAAAATAAATGGAAAGCTCAGCATTGCCAAAAGAAGTTTGAGAAGGTCAGCAAAACTTTCAACTTTTTTTTCTGAATTACATGCATGTAAGATGCTGTTCGGTGGAAATGATTACCTGTAACACAACAGCAATACACAGGATACATTTCCCTGTCACTCCCAAATTGGAAGCAAGAGATGGGGATCTGTTCATCTAACATCATTTCAAAACTCTTAGCATACTCTTGAAAGGTGTTCTGCTGTAAAATATGAATTGGCTATTAAAGATTTTGAAGTGTTGTCACTCCATCCTTTTATCTACCACAGATCAGGATGAAACTATTTTATTCAGCATGTGTACAGATATATCTAAATATGCAATATGCAACAATTAGATCAAAGACACTGAAGAAACATACTTCTGAAAACAGAACTCCCTACTGATTTTAGGTCACAACAGTTTTTATTAACAATGTTCACTATATATGTGCTCCTAATAACGATCTGCAAGTACAGGAAGTGCATGAAAAGCCTGAGATTGGGATCCCTAATGCCTTCATTCACATGCATTCATTCCTTTTGTTGTCAATTCTTAACGTACCTTGAGGCAGTCAGTGTCAGGGCACTGGAAGGAGCTGGGTGCGCCATCTCACGAGGAACTCCACTCCACCCTCACTGCAGAGATGTGAGGCCTTCAAAGCATGGCTTGTTTTCTATGTATCGCACGCAGCAAAGCGGGCTAAAGGGGAAACCTATTTCCATGCTTTGGAAGCTACAAGAATGAAGCTGATTTGTTTTAATAATTATTAGTCAACACTTGTTGTTGGTTTTTTTTTCCCCCCCCACTTAGACGCGCAGTTACTATTAATACAATAAACAGCCATTAGGAAAGGCATCTCTTCCCTTTTAGCATTTCTGTGTTAAAACCTGACAATCGATTGTGTTTTTAATGTTAAATGTTATGAAGATATTCATGCACTGCCAAAAGAAAAGGGTTGACTATGGCTTTTCCTGACTACTAATTACTGTCATTTAAGTTTGGAAAGCACATTTTTAGAATGTGGTTTTATGTTTTCAACTGAAAAATAGAATCGCGTAAAGAAGTTTACCTTCAGAAGCTTCTGTATTAATCTGCCTTCATTTCTGCTGAACATCACATCTATTTTCTCAAGAACTATAAGAGGAAGGCAACGAGCACCTCTGAAAGAATCCTCAGCACAGCACTCTAATGACTTTAGTAGCAACCTATTCTGAAGCAGCTGCATATAATAGCAGTAGTTGGAACACAAAGATTCCTCTTTTGTATCTTCCTTCTTTCACTTGTGGCACCACAACTCCGCTGAACGATGGCAGCTTCGATTCTGAACAGACGGACTGAAAAATGCTTAAGTCATTATACTGCAGAAATAGAAACCAGAAGGTTGAGAAAGAAAGAGCAGTTTTATCAGCAGTGTAAGGTTTATCCAAAAGTGGCTAAATGTCAGCTCCAGTCTCAGATGTTAATCAAGTTCCTCTTTCAAGCTATTCTCACATACATCTCATTAGTATAATTCCTACAAAGCACTTTTATTTCTACTTTCTCAGGACCACATGTGTGTTCCCAATGCCAAACAAGTTATTATCCACAACATCCTCACCCAGAGAGGGATGCTTTTTTATTGAAATCCTTCTGCAAAAACACCCGGCAATAATGAGCTGCACACACAGCTTTCCTGTAAAAGGAGGGAGCACCGAAGTTCCACTGGGGGGTACAACAACAGAACCAGACCACAAGGAGGAGGCAATGCCTCCACTGGTAACTAAAACTGAGTATTTTAATTGCTTGCTTCAGTTTTATTAAATAGCTCACAGCTATCTAGAGATTTTCTAATCTTTCATTTAATTAATCTCAAGAATTAAGTTCTCCTGAAGGAATTTCCTCTTAGAGGACTTCTTGTCAGATGTTAATTTTCAGCCTATTTTTTCAGTCTTCTCCAGAGGAATTCTGCTGTAAGTGTAACTGTATATACCCTTAGTGATTACCCATGCCTCATTTTCTTATTGTATCTCTTTTAGCTTTCTCTGTGGCATGATCTTGAAAGCAGAGTTAATTCATATATTTATTGCGTGAGTTATTCTACCCAACCAAACCTACTTAACTGTGGAGAAATTAGAAAATAATCCAGTCTCAGTCACGCACAGGGACAGTGCAAAGCCAGAAGTGCCATTACAAAGGAGCAGAGGGCACCCACTGCACCCTGCCCTGCTCAGCACACACACTGAGCTGGGGCTGCCAACAAAGGCCTGCAACCCACAGCAGGAGCAGGGAGAAAGGCACAGCACCACCACTGCCCTGAGCCCCTGAAGCACTGGCAGATCTGATGGGTGAAAGCAACCAAAGAAACGTAAGCGGGTCAGAACGCGCAGGAAAGCAGAGCAAAGAACGTTACGTTTTCCTGACAAAATGAAATTAATTCCCAAGTTTATATACCAAAACACTTCAATTCAAGAACACAGAAACAAGAGAAATGCTAGAGTAACTGGAAGGTACCAGTCTGTGGTATTGCTGATTGACCTATTTCCTTGTTCAATCACTGCTGGATTTTAGTTTCCACCTCCTGTGGCTGCATATACCACAGTTATTTCAGCAGAAACCTCCCATGAGATAATGACATTATTTGTTGACATTAAACAAAAAATATAAACCACGCTTTCATAAACCTTTCATAAGCACTGAGAGGAAGTTCTCCTTCTTTCCCAGCTTCCCAGGTCCATCATCCAGGCTCAGACAAAGCCGACACATCCATGCAGTTTATGCAACATGTATACCTTAAACAGAGAAAGTTTTATTTGCAGATTAGGGTTTCCAAAACTAACCTACTATCTCATTTGTGTGCAAGTTGTAAAGCAGACAAGGGCGTCAATCCAACAGCAGCCTTCCCCAAAAAGCAGAAAACCTCTTCAAGAAAAGCCTTAATGGAAGTGCACAGCATGGAAGCTACAGGCCACGAGGATTTAAAATGCATATGCCAATTTCTGCAAAATTTCATTTTTAATAAGTAAAAATAACTAATACATCTCCTTGCTCCTGAAGTACAACTTTTCTAAACAGGGGCACTACAACAAAACTGACTAAAGCAAATCAGGGGCAGCACTGAGGCTGCACGCAGCTCAGAGATCCAACACAGAGCTGCAGAGCAGTGCAGACACACCGCTGGACGGCAGAAGGTGACCTGAGAGCAGCAGTGGCATCGCCCCTCGGTGCTGCCCAGCTTCAGCCCCACATACATACCACAGAGAGAAACGTCACACTGCTTTTTCAGATGACACCAAAGGAGTTTGCTGTAAGTACCGAGACAGACAGACACAAAGCGACAGATGTTGATTTTAACTCCCTCCAAAGCAAAAGCAGAAAAGACTGCAGGTTCCCCACCCTTCCTCCCCCCCCCTAAAAAAAACGTTTCTGGTTTCTCTACAAAGCTAGTAACAAAAACCTTTTTTACCCTGTGTTTTGCTCTCCAAAATGATTTTGTTGTGTTCCTTAAAGCAAAATCACCAAACCATGCAACAGATCACAGCTGCACGATCTGGGAAGCATGTTCTTCTGACTCTGAGATCAACATCGCATGTTGGAGTATCACAACTCACTTGAACCACTTTCAAAAGACTTATTTCTTCTAGCAGCAACTTTTCGTGTTACATTGAATGATTTTCTCAGGATTGCAAACGTTTGGAAGGGCTTACGACAACATACTGACAAAACAGCATCAGGAAATTATCTGTTCATCCTGACCTGGAGCACTGCTGGTAACACATAACTGCACTCCAACTGACTGGTGTATTTCTATGTGCTGTTAGGAAAGTGACCATTTCTCAACCTCAGGAGCCAGAGGAAGTAACAAAATCTCCATGACGTTCCAGCCTGGATCTCCACTGGCACAGACAAGAGGGAACACAAGCTTCTGAATGTCACGCTCGAATCTGTTCTTTTATAAAACACAGCTATTCAGTGCATCAGATCCACACGCTTGGCTACTTGCAATAGCCACCTTCCATTGGCAAAAGGAAAGACAGGAATCCTGGTGGCAGCCTTCTCCCAACACAAAGTACGCTCCCACGTCTCAGAGACAAAGCATCACAGCAGGCTCCTATCTGCTCCCAGCAGCAGCTCTACTTTACAAGGAGAGCTGTCTCCTACAGCTTCCATTTCTGGTTTTAAACCTGAGTGATGCCATCTTAAGAAGATAATCACAAACAAAACTGAAAAATAAAATTGATAAGACTTATTCTGAGAACAACTTTCCCATCAGAAAACATTTGTAGCATAACTTTGATCACAGCGATGCAGTTCCACTGTTGCAGTTACAGAATTCCACTTTAAAAGTTACTCATCTTTTAGACACAAAATACGTTTAACCCACACACAGTTAATGCACACAAAACCAAACTGTACTGTGTTGTTACTCGTACTAAGCATTACAAAAGCAATGCTAAGAGCCTATGTTTAAAGGATTGTTTTTTAAATAACAGTTTATGAAAATTATCACACAAAATAGCAAAATATCATGCAAGCAGGGCCTCCACATCAGAACATCCTAAAAGCAGCATCAGCTATAAGCAGGTTTTCAGCATTCAATTAAAAATCACTGAGTATTTGCTATCAAAGGTAAAAATCCCAAGTTGACAAGATACCAGAATCTTCTCCAACACAATTCTAGACTAAAAGAATTCAGGTATGGAAATGTTCATCTCGAGCAGCAAGGCACTGATTTCCATTTGAAGATGCAGGCCCTTTGGTCACACAGAATAGCTCAGCCCTTCTCCCAGCAGCTGACCCTGCAGAAGATGAGGGATGGCCGGAACAGCAATGGGAGCACACACATCACCACAGTGCATTATCCATTTCATTTATCGCCCCCATCTTATGGACGGCCTGAGAATCCCTCAGTGGCAACTCCCCAGTTTGACACTCTTTCCTAAAGCATTCTTCTTCAAAGATCATAAGTACTCATAATTAAAAGACTGCTTATTTATGAATGGATACCAGCTGCTTCTCCCTTCCTCATGGAGCAGCAGAGATGGCAATATCTCAAGAACCACTCACAAAGAATTGCATGTCATTCAACAGCCGCCCTACAACTTCTCCAAGGAGTAATTGCAAATGCCAAGTGTGCAAACAGAGGTCTAATTGCATCACCTACTATTTCTTTTCTAAAGGTGCAAAAGCCAATGAATTAGAAACTG